ACCGATATTTTACTCGAGCGTGATTGGCTGCGACAACACAATCCGCGAATCGACTGGACGATGGGTGACTGCACCGTGCGAGTGAACGGTAACAACACCGCCCTACCTCGCTGGGGCTCGCCTGAGTCTTCGTCGGTGCGTGTCAACGCGATCACGATGAAACGCGCCGTAGCGGCAGGAGCTGACGTGTACGCGGTCGACATTCGGGAAGCCGAGGCAGCAGACAAAGGAGGGGATTTACAGAAACTACTGGCCGACGTACCGAGTGACCTGGCAGCACTGTTGAAGCAGTACAGCGACATTTTCCCGGACGATTTACCGACGGGACTGCCACCTCAGCGACCGCACAACCACAGGATAGAGTTAGAACCGGGGGCACAGCCAACAGTACAGCGACAGTTCCGACTGACCCAGCCCGAACTGGACGAACTGAGGAAGCAGCTCGATTACCTGCTCGAGAAGGAATTCATTCGCCCTAGTTCGTCACCTTTCGCAGCACCGATACTGTTCACACCGAAAAAAGACGGGGGATTTCGCATGTGCATAGACTACCGAGCACTGAACAGGGTTACCATCAAATCCCGTTACCCCATCCCGCGAGCCGACGAACTGATCGACCAACTGCGCACAGCCCGGGTTTTCTCGAAAATCGACCTTCGAGGGGGTTACCACCAGATTCGCGTCAACCCGCCCGACTGCCCTAAGACCGCATTTCGCACACGTTACGGATCCTTCGAATACACCGTCATGCCTTTCGGACTGACCAACGCCCCCGCCACTTTTCAAATTACCATGAACGAAGCTTTCCGCCCGCTCTTGGATAAGTGCGTCATAGTATACCTGGACGACATACTGATATACAGCCCTGACACAGCACAGCACTTACAGGATATCGAAGCAGTTTTTAAAATACTGAGTGAAAACCGCCTACTGACAAAAGCGTCTAAGTGTGAGTTTTTACAGGACCGCCTGGAGTTTTTGGGACACGTTATTTCAGCTGCAGGAGTGGAAATAGACCCGAAGAAAATTGCGACGATTCAAGCATGGCACGCGCCGACCAACTTGACCGAGTTGCAGAGTTGTTTGGGGTTCGTCAACTACGTGCGCCGGTTCGTCCCCGACATGGCGAAGCTGACTGCCCCGCTGACAGACCTGCTGAGGAAGGGGGTTGAGTACACGTGGGGGGAGAAAGAGCAAGCTGCCTTCTCGGCCCTCAAAAACATTTTGTGCTCACCGCCCGTGCTTCACATCGCAGACCCACACCGTCCGTTCGAGCTCGTCACTGACGCAAGTGACATCGCTGTGGGAGCAGTACTGTTGCAGGATTTCGGGAACGGCCTCCAGCCAATCGCGTACGAGTCCCGCAAGCTGCACCCACCCGAACGCAACTACCCGATACACGACCGCGAAATGTTGGCGATCGTGCACGCGTTCAAGGTTTGGCGGTGTTACCTGACTGGCGCCGACGTGACAGTACGGACAGACCACCGATCACTACAGTACTTACGCGCCCAACCGAATCTCAATCCACGACAGATTCGCTGGTTGGACTACCTCGAGTCCAACTTCCACTACACGGTTACGTACAAGAAAGGCGCATCCAACATCGCCGACGCACTCACCCGCCCTACCGCCCAACTCCACGCCATCCTACTCGCCCAGACCAACCCGCTTTTAACAGGCCTATTCACCCACGGATACCGCACCGACCCATTTTTCACGACTGGAAACTCACAGCAACTGGCAGAAGCTAAATGAGTTTATTACGTAAAAACAGGCACCAACCGCATCTGGGTACCCGCGTACTCACTACTGAGGGAGCTGCTACTGCAGGAGGCACACGACGGAATTACCTCGGGACATTTTGGGGTAGAAAAAACGCGACAGCAACTGCAGCGGTATTACTACTGGCCGGAGCTGTTGACCGACGTGTAGTAGCACGTGGGCTCGTGCCTCACGTCTCAGGTGATGAAGAGCTCGAGGAAGCGGAAGGCGGGTCAATTGCAGCCGATACCACCGCCCGAGCGCGCCTGGCAGCAGGTCACCATGGACTTCGTCACAGGGTTACCTTCGAACCCTGGGGGTAACGACGCGGTGATGGTCGTCGTTGACAGGTTGACGAAGATGGCACACTTCGCTGCGTGCAAAAAGTCGATCTCAGCCGAGGAAACCGCTCGTCTGTTCATCGCAGCCGTTGTTCGCCTGCACGGGATACCAGCAGCAATTATCAGCGACAGGGACACGAAGTTCACCAGCAACTTCTGGAAGAACCTCTGGGAGCAGTTCGGGACCAGGCTACAGTTCAGTTCGTCGTACCACCCTGAGACCGACGGTCAAACGGAGCGGACGAATCAGACGATGGAGCAGTTGATTCGTGCCACGTGCGACGACCCCACGACCTGGGAGCAGCAGCTGCCGCTGATCGAGTTCGCGTACAATAATGCCACGTCAGCGACGACGCAGCAGTCCCCCTTCTACCTGAACTACGGGCAAAACCTTACAGTGCCCATGACGCCGAGTCCGGACAACCCAACACCACGTGCACAGCAATTCGCCGAAATTCTGCAAGCTGCCTGCACCAGAGCCGCAGAAGCAATTAAAAAAGCAAACGTCATCGCTAAGCGCAACGCTGACCGCCACCGCCGCCCAGTCACATACCAGTCAGGGGATTACGTACTACTCGACACGCAAAATCTGCGACTGCCCGACGTACCAAAACTCCGACCGCGCTACTGTGGCCCATTCCAAATCATCCATATGATCACGCCAGTAACCGCGCACCTACTGTTACCGACCGACTGGTACATCAGCCCTTCGTTCCACGTCAGCCTGCTTCGCCCCTACATCCCAACCACAAGCCAGTTGCCTCGCCACCGCCCGCCATCCATGACTCGCCCTGCATCGGAGCCGATCATCGCGCCCGAAAAATTCCTGAGCCATCGGATTCGACACCCTACGGGAATCAAGAGGATTGAATTCCTCGTTCGCTGGAAGGATCACACGCCAACTGAGGACAGCTAGGTGCCCCTTGCCAACATCGAAAACGACCCTGCCCTGCAAGTGTACCTGAGGAGCCGGGGCTTCCGCGATATTCACGCACTCGCGTAGCGGAGGGGGCTTCTTGAGGGGGGGGGGTAGTGTAAGGAATTTTCTCGATATTCCTTAGAGCACCCTGCAACATCGCGTACAGCAGCAGCCGTTGTTCGCCCGTTACTGCTAACGGGGCTTCGCCGACTTCGCGCGCACTGTTTCACCAAACCTCGCACTGCTGGCCTGGCCGTGTCGGCCTACGCTTCGGAACTAGCCCGAGCCTCGCTCCAGCGTAGCTCTAGCTAGCTCACACGCACCGCGTTACCGTTTGCATGTTTCGCGTATAAATGTTCGCTCATGCCTTCGCTCACATTTTGTACTCGTTTGACACCTTAGTGCAATTCTCGCTACTTCGATCCATTGCACCCGTAACAAACGCAAACCAAGCCTCGGCAGCATCGTCTAGCACTGGTCAGCAATGAACCACGCCGTGGGGTGGGATCATGATGGTCAGCACATACTGTAGGGCAAACCCCACGCCCTGTCAGCATTTCCTCTCGTCTGCAAGCATCCCACGACACGACGACCTGTCAGAGATTCCCCTCTTCGACAACTTCCACGCATATTTCACACGAGCGTGTTCTTTATGAAATGAACAGATAGTGGCGAGTTTCGGTTTGTTTGTCACACTCCAGGTTTGACAAGTCAAGCCTGCGGTGGTTGTAGGACCATCACGCGAGACCCCCAAAAATCCACTCTCCTTCCAGAGTGTAGCATGAAGTCAATTTCCGTCACTCCGTGTTTCATGCTGAAACAACGAACCTGCGATTTCTAAGGACGTGCAGGTCGCCTCGATCCAAGCCGGTGGACCGGGTTTCGAGCTCTAGGCAGGATGTGAAAGGAAGAAACACCGTGGTTAGCCATAGTGGCGGATCGTTTGAGGTGGTGGTGAATGGTGAAGTGAGCCGAACCGACGCGGTGCACGGGGAACGATGCAAACTGCACCACGTAAGTCAGAGAGCTTCCTTGGTGAATCGCCTCCCTCCTCTCTTTTCGCAGTCCGTATTCCTGAATCTCCAGGCCAGCAGACTCCCAGGAGCATTCGGCATTTTGAATCGGATAACTTTTAGAACCTTTGTTTTCTAAGTCGGATATTTGCGCCTCCAGGCTGGAATCTGGACGGGCCTAGTAGCTGGATATCTTCGGATAGGTCATGAAAAGGGGTATCTTTCGGAATCCAGGGGCGTGCTTATTGTTCCTCCTTTACCTCATTCCGTGGGCATACATCGCCCATGACCTTCTCCGCGATTCGCCCCGCGCGCCAGCGCAAGAGGTAGCATTTTCATGGAGTAGCCTCGTTTGGAACCGAGAAAGTTATTACATCGGGTTCCAACATTCTGCATCGGGTTTTCGTGTGGCTTCGAAATGCAGCCGCGTGGCTGGGGAGGATTACGAGTCTCTCTATTAGAACCTCCAAAACGAGTCACACTCACGGTCTTCCCAAAATCTGTCTTATCCAAAAATGTTCAATAAATGCTTGATGCCAGATGTATGCGGAAGATCGACGGTTCGATGCTTGCCAGGTGCATTAAATCACGATAGTAAGGCAATGAAACAAATCGTAACAGGGTTTTGCAAGGTGACAACATAGCTTTTACTATTAGCTTGAAGCGATGAGGCGTCTGCGCTTTGCTACTTAGGTTGGTACCGACCTATAGTATTTCAGGTTCAAAACCACCTTTCCTTATCTTGGTCAATCAAGTTTGTTTCTCCCTGTGCTTCTCCCCCTCCAGCCTTTCGTGTCATTCGAGGACATCGTCGAAGAAGGCACGTCCGATAAGCGCACGCATCACTACGGCTCCTTCTACAGCCTCTATCTCGATCCGCTGCGCCTGCCGCGATGGCAGAAGCAAGGGCAGGAGGAGGAGAAAGAGCGAGAGCGATCGGCGTGGGAGATTCCCGAGGTGAACATGCTGGAGATCGGGCTCAAATACGGCGACTCGCTGAAGCTCTGGAAGAAGGCGTTTCCGAGAGGCAGGATCTACGGGATTGACAACGGAGTCATTTCAATGGTAACAGAGAGTCTCTGTTGTTGTTCGAGTCGGTAGGATATTCGGCTCTAGTAAGGTTCGAACATGATCGGATGCTCTCGTTCAGCCGAAGCTATGTCCCTCGTGCTTGTCGCGCCTTTTTTTTTGTTCCAGAAAGAGGGTACACCCTGTATAGGAGGGAAGGGGTCCTCATGTGTGTCTCTCCCTTGAGAACTGTTTTCACACAAACCCAGAACTAGTACCAGGCAGAGGCGGGGGATCCTCGGGTGTTGGTTATGATGGGCGACCTTTGAGGCGCCTCGAATGTGTTTTGCCGCATCCCACTGGCAGAACTACCAGGCAGAGGCGGTGGATCCTCGGGTGTTGGTTATGATGGGCGACCTTTGAGGCGCCTCGAATGTGTTTTGCCGCATCCCACTGGCAGAACTACCAGGCAGAGGCGGGGGATCCTCGGGGGTTGGTTATGATGGGCGACCTTTGAGGCGCCTCGAATGTGTTTTGCCGCATCCCACTGGCAGAACTACCAGGCAGAGGCGGGGGATCCTCGGGGGTTGGTAATGATGGGCGACCTTTGAGGCGCCTCGAATGTGTTTTGCCGCATCCCACTAACAGAACTACCAGGCAGAGGCGGGGGATCCTCGGGTGTTGGTTATGATGGGCGACCTTTGAGGCGCCTCGAATGTGTTTTGCCGCATCCCACTGGCAGAACTACCAGGCAGAGGCGGGGGATCCTCGGGTGTTGGTTATGATGGGCGACCTTTGAGGCGCCTCGAATGTGTTTTGCCGCATCCCACTGGCAGAACTACCAGGCAGAGGCGGGGGATCCTCGGGGGTTGGTTATGATGGGCGACCTTTGAGGCGCCTCGAATGTGTTTTGCCGCATCCCACTGGCAGAACTACCAGGCAGAGGCGGGGGATCCTCGGGGGTTGGTTATGATGGGCGACCTTTGAGGCGCCTCGAATGTGTTTTGCCGCATCCCACTGGCAGAACTACCAGGCAGAGGCGGTGGATCCTCGGGTGTTGGTTATGATGGGCGACCTTTGAGGCGCCTCGAATGTGTTTTGCCGCATCCCACTGGCAGAACTACCAGGCAGAGGCGGGGGATCCTCGGGGGTTGGTTATGATGGGCGACCTTTGAGGCGCCTCGAATGTGTTTTGCCGCATCCCACTGGCAGAACTACCAGGCAGAGGCGGTGGATCCTCGGGTGTTGGTTATGATGGGCGACCTTTGAGGCGCCTCGAATGTGTTTTGCCGCATCCCACTGGCAGAACTACCAGGCAGAGGCGGGGGATCCTCGGGTGTTGGTTATGATGGGCGACCTTTGAGGCGCCTCGAATGTGTTTTGCCGCATCCCACTGGCAGAACTACCAGGCAGAGGCGGTGGATCCTCGGGTGTTGGTTATGATGGGCGACCAGGCGAATGCGACGTTTTTGCAGCAAGTGGTGGCTGAGATAAGGAGCACGGTGAGGAGAGTTGGCTAAGGTGAACAGTGCGGTGAGGAGTGTTGGCTGAGATAAAGTGTGCGGTAGGGTTGGTGTGAAGAGAAGCAATGCGGTGTGATGTGGTTTATATGTGACATGGTCTGTAATAGGCTGGTATTTTTTATCCTGCAGTGTGGAGGTCATCGCACTTCTGGGTGTGATGGGTTCAAAATGTATGGTGTGCATGCCATGGTATGGTGGTGGGTGCTGGTGAATGTGCATGCTGTGCTTCGGATGTTGTTTGGTGCCATGATGGCTATGCCTTCATGCAGCTTGAATGATTGGGTTGCACCTCAGTAGTAGCAGGAGGCACTCAACCTTTGTTTGTTTGTTTGTTTGTTTTTGTTTTGCTTTTTTTTTTTTTTTGAGTTGGCCAAACCCACCTTAAGTTCTGATATCTTTGGTGTGCTCCATACCTGTAGTAAATAATTTGAGATCAACAAGGTTCTGGAATAACTTAGCTGGGCCTGTTTGACACAACGGCGGACAAAATAAATGCACCTGCGGTTCTTGGCTGCCCTTATCCTCGTTACTGTATTGTGACTCGTTTCAGGTGGGTCTGCTTGACTTCATAGTGGACGATGGTGGTCACACCATGGATCAGCAACAGACATCCCTCAAACACCTTCTACCGCTGGTCAAGGTACGTGCTGCCACTGGTCAAGGTACCTGCCATTGCTGGTCAAGGTACGTGCTGCCACTTGTCAAGGTAACCTGTTACAGTTTTTGTCCCATTTTTTGCAAGAAACTGGAATTGCTTATTACAACCTTGGTTTCCCTGTTCCAATCGTTAGAACCTCTTTTGCCCCCCTCACTTTGCTACAACCTATTGGTTGCCTCTTCTGCATCTTTCCCTTACCCACCTCCCTTTCCCTCCCATCCTTTATCGATTTTATCAGCCAGGAGAGACAAGTACATAAACTGCTCTCAGCCAGGAGAGACAAGTACATAAACTGCTCTCAGCCAGGAGAGACAAGTACATAAACTGCTCTCAGCCAGGAGAGACAAGTACATAAACTGCTCTCAGCCAGGAGAGACAAGTACTTCATTAGGAGGATGAGTCGATGTCCACATAAACTGCTTCTCCCTTCCCCACCTTCATTTGCATCCCTATTGTCATTCAATTCCAACAGCCCGGAGGGACGTATTTTATCGAGGATGTGGAGACGTCTTACTACACCAAGTGCCACGTTACAGGGTGTTACATGGGCGGTCCTCCTGGCCTCAACACTACAACCATACACATAATGAAAGGTCTCATAGATGCCATGAATAATGACTTTTTCGAGGAGCAACCTTACTATGAAAATGTAACGCGTCCAAGGTTTTATGCAACTCCTGTAGAGAAGTTGGTGGGGGTAGTACACTGCATGCGCAACATCTGTGCACTTAGGCGCAAACATAGTCCCTGGTATTAGCATCCTGTACTTCTCTATTATCGAGGTAGCACAATCCCTAGGTAGATGTTAACATGCTGAATGGACTTTTGCAGTGGCAAATGGCACAGTACTTATAGAAACAGTGACATCCAGACAAGTGTCTAACTAGAAAGTGTCACCGAATAAAGGGTTTGAAGCCCAAATGATGTTATTACCAAGGACTCGATTTCCGTCTAAGCGCACAAATGTTCCTCATGCAGTGTACTGCGCCCACCAAATCCTCTACAGGAGTCGTGTAAAATTCCTCACTTGCAGCCCTCTTGATATAAGCCTGCTTCTCGATATAGTCCCGGTTAACCACATCCATAAGCATCTTGAGAACGTGTATCGTTGTGGTGTTGAGGCCAGGGGGGCCTCCTTCATAACACCCTGTAATGTGGCATTTAGTGTAGTAGGACGTCTCGAGATCCTCGATAAAGTATATTCCACCTGGCTGAACAATGGAGCGGGAGGATGTGAGCAGGGAAGAGGGAGTCTTGTATAAGACCACAGTGAGAACCGGTTTGGTATGAGAGAGAGGATACCGAGATGGAGATGGAAGCGAGAGGAAGAGGGGAGAGATGAGTGAAGACGTTCAGAAGTGGTGCAGACAGGGGGGAGAATGAGAGGGGGAGAGGGATTGCAGCGGGAGGCAAGGCAGGAGGCTTATATTGGTGTTACTTTTTAGAATTCTCAAAGGTTACACCAATATAGAGAGCGAAGGAGATGAAGATAAGAGAAGGAAGGAGATGAAGATAAGAGAGGGAAGGAGATGAAGATAAGACAAGGAGATGAAGATAAGACAAGGAAGGAGATGAAGATAAGACAAGGAGATGAAGATAAGACAAGGAAGGAGATGAAGATAAGACAAGAAGATGAAGATAAGAGAAGGAAGGAGGGCCAAAAAGGCAAAATCAGCAACAGGATATAAACTAGGACACAGAAGTGGCATGCAGATGCAACACGTAGGTGCCTCGACTTGCAGCAGCAGGTGCCGTAATTAGTGGCAGGAAATACCTGGCAGCAGGTGTTTTGACTAGCAGAAGGATAACCTCAACTGGAAGCAGGAAATGCCTCGACAAGTGTCAGCAGGTACCTTGACCAGTGGCAGCACGTACCTTGACCAGGGGTAGAAGGTGTTTGAGGGATGTCTGTTGCTGATCCATGGTGTGACCACCATCGTCCACTATGAAGTCAAGCAGACCCACCTGAAACGAGTCACAACACAACTCAATAACGAGGACAAGGGAAGCCAGGAAAAAAGGTTCAGGTGCACAGCCTTTCAAAGGCACATCATGCCACCTCAGATGTGGTTTATTCCTTCCCATACCACCTCAGATGTGGTTTATTCCTTCCCATGCCACCTCAGAATTCTCAAAAGTAACATCAACACTGCTTATCTCCGTTTCTGTCTCCCCTCGAAAGAAATGGCAGCAGACATCAGAAATGGGATGGGATAGGCATCCCATCCCATCCCATCGCATCCCATCCCATCCCATCCCATCCCATCCCATCCCATCCCATCCCATCCCATCCCATCCCATCCCATCCCATCCCATCCCATCCCATCCCATCCCATCCCATCCCATCCCATCCCATCCCATCCCATACCCTCACCACATCGCACTCAACAGCACGGCCAGTCACCGCACCTCACTGCACTCTTAATCTCAGCCACCGCTCCTCACCGCACTCTTTCCCCCAGCCATCAATCATCACTACGGTCTTCCCCCCTCCTCGACGCCTCTTTTTCCCCAGCCGCCACTCCTCACCGCACTCGTTATCTCAGCCACCACTCCTCACTGCACTCTTTATCCCAGCCACCACTCCTCACCGCACTCTTTATCCCAGCCACCACTCCTCACCGCACTCTTAATCTCAGCCACCACTCCTCACCGCACTCTTTATCTCAGCCACCACTCCTCACCGCACTCTTTATCCCAGCCACCACTCCTCACCGCACTCGTTATCTCAGCCACCACTCCTCACTGCACTCTTAATCCCAGCCACCACTCCTCACCGCACTCTTTATCCCAGCCACCACTCCTCACCGCACTCTTTATCCCAGCCACCACTCATCACCGCACTCTTTATCTCAGCCACCACTCCTCACCGCACTCTTTATCCAAGCCACCACTCCTCACCGCACTCGTTATCTCAGCCACCACTCCTCACCGCACTCTTTATCCCAGCCACCACTCCTCACCGCACTCTTTATCCCAGCCACCACTCCTCACCGCACTCTTTATCTCAGCCACCACTCCTCACCGCACTCTTTATCTCAGCCACCGCTCCTCACCGCACTCTTTATCTCAGCCACCACTTGCTCCAGAAACGTCCCATTCGCCTGGTCGCCCACCATCAGCCGCACCCGCGGGTCCTTCGCCTCTGCCTGGTGCTTCTGTGGAGAGGAGAGGCAGAGAGGACGGGGAATGGGCGGGGAACAGACACGGACAGTGCAGAGGGGAGAGGCGAGGGGGGTGAGTAAGTCAAGATTTGGGGCAAGGCACCCTGTGTCCCTCGCCTCCGCCTGGTGCTTCTGTGGAGATGATGACATAGGGGATAGGCATGGGATGGGGATGGGGGATAAACATGGTCAGGTCAGGAGGTGGGGAAGAAAAGCCATCAGCCGCACCCGCGCATCTGCCTGGTGCTTCTGCGGGCATGAGAGGCGATGGGGATGGGGGATGGGCGTGGGACAGACAAGAGCAGCCAGCCACGGATACAGGATGGGAGGGGTTGGGACACGCCCCAAATAAAATCCGCGTGAACTGAGACGATTTCTGAGGCGCCTAAAAAATGCGGATGGGGGATGGGCGTGGAACATACAAGAGCGGCAGGCCACGGATAGGGGAAGAGAGGGGTTGGGACAGACATGGAGAGTGGGGGGGAGGGGAGGTGCGCACGGTCATACCGACATGGAGAACGGACCAACGCCAGACAATCTGGGGAATTTCGCCAAGCTTGAAATGAAGTTGGTCGCACAAGAAAAGGAAGCTACTCATTACTGCTGTTACCCTTGAGAATTCTCAAAAGTCACGCCGTGCGGCTACATCAACATCAACCCTGCCAACGCCGCGGCTTACATTGGACAACGTCTCATTGACTTTTGAGTGGACCCAAAAGTCACCCTGAAAAGGAAACTATTGATTACTGCTGTTACCAGCCATGCGGCTACATCAACATCAACCCTGCTACCGAGGCTTACATTGGGCACTTTTGAGGCGCCTCAGAAAATACTTTTGAGGCGCCTCAAAAACTACTGATTACTGCTGTTACCAGCCGTGCAGCTACATCAACATCAACCCTGCTGCCACCGAGGCTTACATTGGGCACCGTCACATTGTCCAGTCCATGCATTTTCGTTCACCTCGGAACCCTTGGGACCGTCTCAAACCTCGGGACCCTCGCGCTTACCTCTGGAATCATCCCGTCAAATCCCGTAGATCCTGCCTCAAGGAAACACCCTCTTCCAGAGCTTCAGCGAGTCGCTGTACTTGAGATCTCAGAGCTTCAGCGAGTCGCTGTACTTGAGATCTCGGAGCTTCAGCGAGTCGCAGTACTTGAGATCTCAGAGCTTCAGCGAGTCGCTGTACTTGAGATCTCGGAGCTTCAGCGAGTCGCTGTACTTCAGATCTCGGAGCTTCAGCGAGACGCTGTACTTGAGATCTCGGAGCTTCAGCGAGTCGCTGTACTTGAGATCTCGGAGCTTCAGCGAGTCGCTGTACTTGAGATGTCGGAGCTTCAGTGAGTCGCTGTACTTGAGATGTCGGAGCTTCAGCGAGTCGCTGTACTTGAGATGTCGGAGCTTCAGCGAGTCGCTGTACTTGAGATCTCGGAGCTTCAGCGAGTCGCTGTACTTGAGATGTCGGAGCTTCAGCGAGTCGCTGTACTTGAGATCTCGGAGCTTCAGCGAGTCGCTGTACTTGAGATCTCGGAGCTTCAGCGAGTCGCTGTACTTGAGATCTCGGAGCTTCAGCGAGTCGCTGTACTTGAGATCTCGGAGCTTCAGCGAGTCGCTGTACTTGAGATGTCGGAGCTTCAGCGAGTCGCTGTACTTGAGATGTCGGAGCTTCAGCGAGTCGCTGTACTTGAGATGTCGGAGCTTCAGCGAGTCGCTGTACTTGAGATGTCGGAGCTTCAGCGAGTCGCTGTACTTGAGATGTCGGAGCTTCAGCGAGTCGCTGTACTTGAGATCTCGGAGCTTCAGCGAGTCGCTGTACTTGAGATCTCGGAGCTTCAGCGAGTCGCTGTACTTGAGATCTTGGAGCTTAAGCGAGTCGCTGTACTTGAGATCTCGGAGCTTCAGCGAGTCGCTGTACTTGAGATCTCGGAGCTTCAGCGAGTCGCTGTACTTGAGATGTCGGAGCTTCAGCGAGTCGCTGTACTTGAGATGTCGGAGCTTCAGCGAGTCGCTGTACTTGAGATCTCGGAGCTTCAGCGAGTCGCTGTACTTGAGATCTCGGAGCTTCAGCGAGTCGCTGTACTTGAGATCTCGGAGCTTCAGCGAGTCGCTGTACTTGAGATCTCGGAGCTTCAGCGAGTCGCTGTACTTGAGATCTCGGAGCTTCAGCGAGTCGCTGTACTTGAGATCTCGGAGCTTCAGCGAGTCGCTGTACTTGAGATCTCGGAGCTTCAGCGAGTCGCTGTACTTGAGATGTCGGAGCTTCAGCGAGTCGCTGTACTTGAGATCTCGGAGCTTCAGCGAGTCGCTGTACTTGAGATCTCGGAGCTTCAGCGAGTCGCTGTACTTGAGATCTCGGAGCTTCAGCGAGTCGCTGTACTTGAGATCTCGGAGCTTCAGCGAGTCGCTGTACTTGAGATGTCGGAGCTTCAGCGAGTCGCTGTACTTGAGATCTCGGAGCTTCAGCGAGTCGCTGTACTTGAGATCTCGGAGCTTCAGCGAGTCGCTGTACTTGAGATCTTGAAGCTTCAGCGAGTCGCTGTACTTGAGATCTCGGAGCTTCAGCGAGTCGCTGTACTTGAGATGTCGGAGCTTCAGCGAGTCGCTGTACTTGAGATGTCGGAGCTTCAGCGAGTCGCTGTACTTGAGATGTCGGAGCTTCAGCGAGTCGCTGTACTTGAGATCTCGGAGCTTCAGCGAGTCGCTGTACTTGAGATCTCGGAGCTTCAGCGAGTCGCTGTACTTGAGACCTCGGAGCTTCAGCGAGTCGCTGTACTTGAGATCTCGGAGCTTCAGCGAGTCGCTGTACTTGAGATCTCGGAGCTTCAGCGAGTCGCTGTACTTGAGATCTCGGAGCTTCAGCGAGTCGCTGTACTTGAGATCTCGGAGCTTCAGCGAGTCGCTGTACTTGAGATCTCGGAGCTTCAGCGAGTCGCTGTACTTGAGATCTCGGAGCTTCAGCGAGTCGCTGTACTTGAGATCTCGGAGCTTCAGCGAGTCGCTGTACTTGAGATGTCGGAGCTTCAGCGAGTCGCTGTACTTGAGATGTCGGAGCTTCAGCGAGTCGCTGTACTTGAGATGTCGGAGCTTCAGCGAGTCGCTGTACTTGAGATGTCGGAGCTTCAGCGAGTCGCTGTACTTGAGATGTCGGAGCTTCAGCGAGTCGCTGTACTTGAGATCTCGGAGCTTCAGCGAGTCGCTGTACTTGAGATCTCGGAGCTTCAGCGAGTCGCTGTACTTGAGATCTTGAAGCTTCAGCGAGTCGCTGTACTTGAGATCTCGGAGCTTCAGCGAGTCGCTGTACTTGAGATGTCGGAGCTTCAGCGAGTCGCTGTACTTGAGATGTCGGAGCTTCAGCGAGTCGCTGTACTTGAGATGTCGGAGCTTCAGCGAGTCGCTGTACTTGAGATCTCGGAGCTTCAGCGAGTCGCTGTACTTGAGATCTCGGAGCTTCAGCGAGTCGCTGTACTTGAGATCTCGGAGCTTCAGCGAGTCGCTGTACTTGAGATGTCGGAGCTTCAGCGAGTCGCTGTACTTGAGATCTCGGAGCTTCAGCGAGTCGCTGTACTTGAGATCTCGGAGCTTCAGCGAGTCGCTGTACTTGAGATCTCGGAGCTTCAGCGAGTCGCTGTACTTGAGATCTCGGAGCTTCAGCGAGTCGCTGTACTTGAGATGTCGGAGCTTCAGCGAGTCGCTGTACTTGAGATCTCGGAGCTTCAGCGAGTCGCTGTACTTGAGATCTCGGAGCTTCAGCGAGTCGCTGTACTTGAGATCTTGAAGCTTCAGCGAGTCGCTGTACTTGAG